TCCCCTTTTTCGCCCAGGCGGATGGGTAAATCCACTCGTCCCACTGGTGGACGACTCCTCCTCCAAACCCTACTAAAGGGTGGGATGCCGGATGTATGCAATCAGTCTGATATTTTAGTTTCGACAGACATTTGCTACTGATGAGATCTGAGGAGCTTCCGGTATCTATGAGGATTCGGCCAACTCTCTGGTTGGCCACTTTACATTCAATAACGATAGGGTCGTCATGCGGCCCTCTTACCCCTCCTAGATCTTCTTCAGTGATGACAATCTCAGGAAATGAATATTTGGAGGGTCATTCTTGGTGAACGGAATTTATATCTAACCGTCTGATATTGTCTTTGTTGCCCCTAATAGTGGGGCCGCCTCCTGAGAAGCCGCCTGCAATGGTGTAGACGACTGCATCATCTGTATCGGAACTGTCGGCCTGTTGATTCTTTTTGGCCGACTGCTTTTTTGAGGAAGTGTTCCCGTAGATTTCTTGACATAAGTGTCAAGATCACCTTGCTCAGCCAGGCGGTCCAGATACCGCATGAGACTGATGCATTCATTGGTGTGATGACCAACATCTTCATGATAAGCACAGAATTTTTCTTGGTTCCGGTTATTTGCAGAACCCTTCATGGGGACCGGCTTCTCAATTGAGATCCGTCCCTTGATTTCCTTTAGGATAAACTGGATATCCTTGTTAAACGCATACTTTGGGGAGTATGGTTTGAATTCTTTTTTCTTTTTCTGGGCCGGCTGTTTAGAGGAATCAGCCGCCCAGACCTCGTTTCTCTTCTCGTCTTTGTTTGACGACTGTTTCTGTCGTCCTTCTCTTTTGTCGGACCTTTTCCCGTCTGACTGTTTTACCGTACTACAAAGATCAGTCGCCTGTATATAGGCTTCCGCTTCAATCAAGGCCTCTTGAAGAGTCGCCACCCTCTTTCAGACCAAATCAAATTTGAAGGTCGACCCGTCTTTGAGACCTTTGAAAAAGTCAGTATAGGCTACTTCATCCGGTAACCCTTGAATCTGTATTCTCATCAGGTTAAACCGCCTGATGTAAGAACGAAGCCCCTCCTTCTCGCCCTGCTGAATTGTTCCTAAATCAAGGGTCGTCTTCTTCGCAGGGATGTTCATGGCGAAGTTGGAGGTGAATAAGTAAGCAAGCGTCCTGAAGTTATTTACACAACCAGTCGGCAGGTTGCCGAACCATTGTTGTGCGATTCCTTTGAGAGTCGCTGGGAAACACTTGCACCAAGTGGGATCATCCAACCCTTGAAGGTACATCAGGTTGGTGAATGCCATCAGATGGTCTTCTGGGTTAGTTGTGCCGTCATAGGCGCCTACTAATACATTTTTCACTTTGGTCGGCTGAGCGGCTTCAGTAATTTCCTTGGAGAAGGCCGACGGCTGTTCACCAAGTCTAAGCAACCGTAGCTGCCAGTCCATAGGTCGGACATTTTTTTGCTGCATGTCCACCAAACGGAGGTGGCTGTAAAAAATATTGTTGTTGCGGTACAAACGGTAAGTTTGGTACCGCCTGGTCGCTATGAAAGCCGGACTGACGGGAGGTGCCGCCTGACTGACTCTCATGATACGACTGAGTATGCCTCATCGAGGTATTTCGCAGACTGTCTTGGAAGTTTGAAGTAGAGGCCGACTCTGACAATCGGCTACTCTTCTTCTGCTCTAGCAGTAGCCGAGCGTCTGTGTATGTTTTCCTCGACCCGTCCGCCTGAATATGACGAGCAGGTTTCCTATTTCCTGGAGTAGGAAAACGGTATTTTGTGAAATCAAGGGCAGGTGGCTCCCACTTCCTAGATTTAGGATGAGGGGTCGCCTCTCGCCCTTGAACTGGTTTCCTCTTCCGTGAAGTGGAGGGTTTCTTAGCCGACTGCTCCTTGTCCAGAGCAGGCGGCTTCTTGTTGATCAACTCTTGAATTTCTCCCTTGAAGTCCCTCATGAAGGTCATGAGTTCGTTCCTTGTGATGGGAGCAGACCCATCAGTCGGCTGCTGCCGAACAGGCGGTGCGCCTGCTGGCTCGCTTCCAGTTTGAAGATGTTCCCGTTCCCTCCTTTCGGTATGACGGGTACGTCGGGCCCTTAGGGTCCCGTCTGAAGCTGTGTGAGCTTCAACTTCAAATTCATTCTCAGTATCGTGGTCCGACTGAACTTGAGGGTCGTCTAGGGGACGTCTCTCTTCAGGAGTCGGTACAGACGTGGATGCCATCTCAGAAGTACTCTCCCCACAGACGGCGCCAAATGTTTCGGGGTTTTCTGATGTCCTGCGGGAGAGTTACAATTCCGAGACTGGAACCGGACGCCTGTACCTGCAAAACAAACGGATGCTCCGGATGATTGGAGATCCGCTTCCGACGGTCAAGTTAGTACTTGATTAAGGAGTAATTAATGCGTAAATTAAAGTGATTGGGTCTCTCTAGGTGAGAGTGTTTAATGTGTGTAATCTGCGTTTTTAGCGTGTTCTCCCCCTTAATGAGGATTAAGGGAGGTATTTATAACCTCGGGAAACGTGCCAATCTAGGTTTAGGTTAACCTTGGACTGATTGGGCTTCCCTCGGGAGTTGGGCCTAGGTGACCGGTTATCCCAGGTGTCATGGGAAGGACACGTGTCGTGTCGTAATTGGTCCATGGTGGACGGATCAGTGCTTGACACGTGGCAGGCTCCTATTGACCCATGTGACGGACACATGGCGGAACCTGATTGGTCCACTTGTCAGATGGTGATTGGTGGGGAAAAATCCCCTAATCAGAACATATACATAAAGTGAAAAGAACATATTGTTAAATAATGTTCTTTATCTCCATGTTCTTTTATTGTTAGTATGATGTACTTTTATTTGTGACATAATGTTCATTGTTTATTTTGAAATGGTTTTTGAATTTTGACTTTAAATTATGGTGGTTGAATAAAAATACTGTTTATTACATTATATTATCATGTTCTTTATTAATATTACAGATATTTTTTAGATATACAAAAAGAACATAAAGCTGGATGTTGTTTATAGAACAGTTATATGTTCTTTACAAAACAACTATATGTTCATTACAAAACAACTAAATATTTATTTCGCCTTTTTTTTAAAATAAATAAATAAATAAATAAAAATTAATCCATATGCACCAAGCATGGTGCATATGCCTCCAAGAAGAAAATTTCAAATCTAGTATAGTAAAAAAGAAAACAATAAGTAATTACTAGAGCAATAAGTCTTCTATAAGGCGAAGTTACGTTAATTTTATTGAAAAACGGTACAGTCAATCTAAGGTAACTTTAACAATTTTTAAAATAACATTAACTCCTTTAAGGCTTTAAGAACTTTTAATTTGTAATGATTTTAATTGTATTTTAATATGTATTTTCTAATGAATATATAAAAGCTAATGTCATTAATCTGATACATTATAAATCTTTTTGTAAGAGTTAGATTTATGTTATGAAAATGGTAACTTTTATAATATATAAGGGTTATCTTATATACTTTTAAGGTAACTTAAATCGGTGTTACATAACTTAATGAAAATCGCCTTAATAATTTATATAATGAAAATTTGTGTTAGTAAAGGGTGTTTGATTCACCTATTAATTAAGATATTTATCTCTTGATGATTATCACAAAATTAAAATCTTGTTCTTCATTTAGGATTGTCTCAAAATGACATGCTACTTTTTATTTTATTACCTTAATTGATAAATACAATTATGGATTCTATTAAAATTAAACCAAATGCACGGTTGATAATTCAATTGTAAATTATTAAGGAAAAATTGTCAAAAATAAAACGACCTTTCATGAGTCTTCTAAAAATAAAATGACATTTTGATTATTTCAACATAAAACGACCTTTGATATGAATCTACTCAAAATAGAACAAAAAAACCAGTAACCTATTTAATAGGTTACACCAACCACGTGTTGTATTGTGATTGGTTAAGATTTTTTATTTTAATTTTAACATTTTCATTTTTAAAAAACTGATTTTAATTTTTTAATAAAAATAATATAATAAAATTTCTCCCTCCCTTGCCGTACTGCCACCCCTCCCCTCTCCATTCCCGTTCTGCTACCCCTTCCACCCCCCTTCTGTGCTGCCCACCATTCACACTCCGACGCCGCTCCCCTAACCCTAATCCTCCCTAGAAAACCACCAAAATAACCCATCCAACCAATTGGAAACCCCTAAACTCCACCTGACCACCACGAAATCCTACCCAACCAACCCGTAACCTAGCCCACTCCACCGGAAACCCACCCTATCCCACCCCAAAACCAAAATCCTACTGATTTAGCTCACCCATTTAATATAACTCACCTTTCAATGGGCTTCAATGGAGATAGAGGAAAGGGAAGGGAAAGGGGTGTGGGGATGGATTTAACTTGCGAGAAGAGGGGTTGAGATGGGTTTAATCGGAGGGGAAGGGAGGTGTTGATGGTGGACGGTTGGGCAGCGCTTGCGGGAGGAAAGTGGTTTTATGGATTTTTTTTTTTTTTAAAAATAATAAAATAATGCAAAAGTTAAATAAAAAAAAAACTATCAATTACAATGAGACACGTGTCCTAATAAACTTGTCAAATCGGTCACCAATAGGCCACGTTCTATCTTGAGCGGAAGCATGTCAAAGGTCATTTTATTTTAGAATAATCTAAAGGTCGTTTTATTTTTAGGAAACCCATGAAGGATTGTTTTATTTTTGACAATTTTTCCAATTTTTAAAGGTTGAAAGACAGTTATGATATTTTAACTCAATTTCTCATGTATGACCTCTTATCAAATGAAACTTGTTATTTTAGTAACGGAAGAGTATCCGAGACATAAGAATTCAAGTTTAAAAGACAATACAGCAAATCAAATCATCATTTGTTATTATATCTTGCTAGTAAGTCATTAGCAATGTCATATTTGTGTAAGATCATTGTTGCCTAGCTACTTGCCTTGTTGGGGTAACTATGCAACTCGAAATTATGATATATCCAATACTAGCATAAAGGCATGAATCTAACACTTGAAAATCTCCAGGAATATGGGGAAGGAGCAAGTATGTAGGTGTGTCTCTGGTTGGGAAGACTTTGGCTGTGATGGGATTTGGGAAGGTCGGATCAGAAGTTGCAAGACGAGCAAAAGGTCTAGGCATGCACGTTATTGCTCACGATCCTTATGCTCCGGCAGACAGAGCACGTGCAGTTGGTGTTGAGTTGGTTTCCTTTGATCAGGCCATATCCACTGCTGATTTTATCTCCCTCCATATGCCTCTTACTCCAACAACTAAGAAAGTCTTCAATGATACCACCTTTTCTAAGATGAAGAAAGGTGCACGTCTCATTAATGTTGCTAGGGGAGGTGTTATTGATGAAGATGCTTTGGTCAGGGCTCTTGACTGCGGCATAGTTGCTCAGGTAAAAACCTGTCTTATCAGTTATTGAATAGATGATCCTGGTCTACCTATGTTGTGGATTAACTAACAGCTGATTATTTTGTTGTACTAAATGGTATGGTACAGGCAGCACTTGATGTGTTCGCGGAAGAGCCCCCAGCCAAGGATAGCAAATTGGTGCAGCATGAAAATGTTACCGTCACACCTCATCTAGGAGCCAGCACCAAAGAAGCTCAGGTTAGTCTTTTTTGAGCCATGATTCCAATTTAACAATATTCTTTACCAAAATATTTTTATTGATCTACACTTCTGAAAATAATCAGGAAGGAGTGGCTATTGAAATAGCAGAAGCTGTTATCGGAGCATTGAATGGAGAACTCTCGGCAACTGCAGTGAATGCACCAATGGTTCCTGCTGAGGTATTTGATGAACCAACAAGAGAATCTATATTAAATTGAAACAGAAAAGTAGGGGGGAAATCCATCTTATTGTTGAGCACTTCTAAGGTATAGTTTTGCTGCAGGTTTTATCAGAACTAGCTCCTTACGTCCAGTTAGCTGAGAAGCTAGGGAGACTAGCAGTACAGCTCGTGGCTGGAGGAAGCGGTATCCAGACAATCAAAGTGTCGTACATAACAGCAAGAGGCCCAGATGACCTTGATACTAGACTCCTCAGAGCAATGATCACCAAAGGTATTATTGAGCCAATCTCTGATATGCACATCAACCTTGTCAATGCAGATTTCACTGCCAAGCAGAAGGGTCTCCGCATTAGTGAGGAGCGTGTTTCTGTGAATTCATCCCCTGAGAACCCAATCGACTCTATCCAAATTCAAATTCCAAGTGTACAGTCAAAATTCGAGAGCACCATCACAGAGAAAGGGGATATAAGCATCGAAGGAAAAGTTAAGGATGGGATTCCCCATTTGACCCGTGTTGGATCTTTCGCAGTGGATGTAAGTCTTGAAGGGAACATTATCCTTTGCAGACAAGTTGATCAACCGGGCATGATTGGGAAAGTAGGGATTATTCTTGCTGACCATAACGTGAATGTGAACTTTATGAGTGTTGGGAGGACTAGCAAGAAGCAGAAGGCTATAATGGCAATTGGTGTGGATGAAGAACCTGAAGAGGATGCTCTCAGAAAGATAGGCCAAGTTCCAGCTGTCGAAGAGTTCGTGTTCCTTAAACTATAGGAAGCTTCAAGAGTGTAGGAAGAGATCATAGAAGAAAGGCTGGCTTCTGCATAATATTCAGAAGCGATAGGGTAATTATATCAGATCAACCCTGCTTTGCATATGCAGCTCAGGGTTTCTGATCTCCCCCTATATGTGTGTGTTAGTAATAATATTTCAAAAACTTGAACTCTTTATTGGGATAATAATATGTTTTAGTACCATTAGTTCCCCCCCCCCCAGTAAAAAAACGAATTTTGTGTGTTGAATCTGTGATATATGAGCTCGAGTTGAAATTAGCTTCATATATCTATGTGATGTAAGATTCTTGTTTGATTTTATATAAATGCAGAGAGTTGGTTTGGGTTGCAATATGTATCCAAAGTTGAGCCTAAATATATTCATCTACTAGAGTTTCACTTCCAAAAGCGATAGTAATCAGCAAACAACTTAGAACAAGGGAATTAAGTGACTGTAGGTTGTGTTTTGTTGGGAGGAAATCATTTCATTAGACTATTGCTCTTCATATCTTACTCTGTTTAAATCATTTCATTAGACTATTGCTCTTCAAATCTTACTCTGTTTGATTTGTAAAGGGATTAATATTTTCTTCGGTCTATTGATATTAGTTTTTGGTGGAAAATATATTCTTCATAAAGAAAGCAATGCCACATTTTTCTCCCAACCCTCACCTTCGTTCCTCCTCTCCTCTGTTTCATCCTCCTCCCTTAATTTTTTTACTTCTCTCACTAACTAATCTATAAAGGATTTAATTGAAGAAAATTGGTGTAAAACGTGTTCACATTATTGAAATATGCTAGTACTTTCAATTGAAGATGGCAAGTAGTTGAATATGTTTTCCTTTAAACCAAATTATTTGGGAAGATTGAATTAGGAAGTGCTCAGATACAATGCGATGGAGGGTCCATTAGCTTTACACCTTTGATGGGCGTTAGAACGGTCGTACATTCCACACTCAATCAAACACATTTATTAACAAACACCTTACAAACCAAGCATAATGACAAGTAAGAGTTCGGTCCACAAGGAACGGGATATGATTGCCAAAGATCTTTACACTTAAGCTAACTCGAAGTCAATTGGTGAATTGGGGTTCGTCAAGAAGACAAACAAACTATGGTTCTAAATCAATGAATTAAAGATACTAGGGAATGAGATCCACTCAACCAAGGCAAATAGGCAAACGGGGAGGAAAATAGACAAGATATAGCAAGGACTATATGTAAAATCAACCTCATGCAATTAGAAAACAACTCACACTACTAAACTTAGATTCCTCATTAGTTTAGCAATAGATGATACATAATCAAATTACAATAAGTAATGAAGTACTCAATTTACACTTCCATGTCAAATTAGGCATATCATACTATCAAGCTCCTTAATCAAGGGTAGCTAAACCTATCATGAGGAACTAACAAGCAATCTCATATAATCAATTTAATTGCAATACAAACATCAATGCTTCTCCCACATTTGCATAGTTAACCCAAAAGGTCGAGCTTCACCCAACCCCTAGCAAGAAGACTACTCACAACTCATGTTTATCAACATGCAATCAAGAATTAGGGTTCTAAATACTTCAATAATTGGGGAAAAGTGGTTAACAATTGAAATAACTATCATCCAATAACAAATTACCAAGAACTAAGAAGATTTAAATAACATGCAAATACCAAATAAAATCTGAAATTAAAAGGAAGAAGGTTGGAGAAATTACTAATTGAAGCTTCAAATGTTGAATACAAATTGCCAAACTTTGAGAATAATTCTTGAATTTCACTAATACAATGATTTGATTTGATGAAAACTAAGCTAAATTAATCCTAAGGAATGTTTCAAACTAAGAGAGGTTTCTGAAAACTAGGCTACTGTACCCCCTTTCTAAATGAGCTAAAGGGGAAGTATTTATACTCCCCGAAACACATAGGGAAATCCGTCAAAAGAAAACGGATTCCCAGCGAGGAGCGCCCGCTCCACAATGAGGAGCGCCCGCTCCTTTCGGCTGCACGCCCTCTCCAGAATGCTTCAATGATGGATCAGATTTGAAAGTGTCAGGGAGGAGCGCCCGCTCCTCACATGATGCACGCCCGCTCCCCTGTTCCAGCAGCATGGGCAGATTCAATCTTCAAAGGGAGTAGCGCCCGCTCCTGGTGAGGAGCACGCCCGCTCCTAACTGCACCTGAACTTGGGCAGAATGTGGCTAGAGTCGAGGAGCGCCCGCTCCATGAGAGGTGCACGCCCGCTCCCCTGGAGCGCCCTCTCCAATCTTCAATCCTCTTGTCTTAAACACGATTCATGCACCGAAAGCCTGCCTAATTGAGTCCATAGACCTGCAAAACATGGACAAACACAAACCAAGAGGGGGGGAAAGCCGAGACAAAACATTTTCATTCAAAATTGGGTTAGAAAGAGGGGAAATGATCGCAAAATCGGGTTTAAATTTACACAATAAGTGGTCAAATAAACCACTTATCAAATCCCCCCAAGCTAACCAAATGCTTGTCCTCAAGCAATTCACATTGCCCAAAAACAAACCCAAAGATCAATTTGCTCAAAGAAAAGCACATGCATAGATATGAGAATCCTTAAGCAATAAAACTCGAGCATGAGGTATATGCCTAAGATCAACCACGGTCATGACTAGCCAAGGCCTAGCTAACCTTCCTGAATGTACTCAACTTTGGTCCATTCAACCAATCTTACCGCGTCCCCAACACAAAGTTCAAACTCCCCTTAATGGTAATGTCTCATGACTCCTCGAAGGAGCCGAAAGAAAAATAGACCAAAGACATGTGGTAATATGACTCCCGAGGAAATCGATCCTTTCCTCCCTACGATTATACACAACCCGGGGGTTGTGATTTTAGGGGGGACCCTTCTTATTACTACGTCCCCGAGACATGTGGTAATATGACTCCCGAGGAAATCGATAACCACCCCTTAAGGGGATACTTCGGGTTTCCACCCGGGTATGATGGTGGGTGGGGCACTAGTAATGCACCGGACTACGGTCACTATCGTAGTAGCCCCAACTATAATCTTCCTCCATACATGGATCAACCTTCCTTTTCCGGCGATGTAGACCTCAACTATAACTACATGCCATCACCGCCTAGGGAGGATGATCGGGAGTAGCCTTTAGACATTTGTTTTTACCGTTCCCTTCTCTTCTTTTCCCATCATGTGTAACACCGAGGCCGGTGTCGAGTTCTGGCTTGGGGGGGAGATGTTTCTCATTGTGTCCATCTATCGTGGGAACGGTAATCAAATGTCTAGCTTGGGGGAAGTCTTGGGGTCTTTGTGTCTAGGGTAGTTTTCGGTTTTGATAGGAAATGTGTTTTCTTGTGATGCCTTTTGTGCTATGTATGGAGAAATTTGAGATTGTATGTGGAATGTTTGGCATGAAAGGCTTAGTCTAGCCTTTGGGACTTGTGGTAGGATTCATAAGGTACTATGTTCTAGTTTGCATGCCTATATTAGGTTGGTTGTTACCCTTTTCACGTTTTTATGGCATGCCTAGGCTAGAACAATTGCATATTGATGTTTTTGTCTCACTTCTCTTGATGAGTGTGCTATTTGGAGCATCTTATCTATGGCTTTGATATGATCATGCTTTGGTTGGTTTGATTGTTGGTTGGTATCATGGTTGATTGGCATTGTTCTTGGTTTTGCTTGATGATGAATTTTGATGATGATTTCCCTTAATATCCAAATTTCTTTTTCTTATCCTCTAACCCCTCTAACATCCAGATTTCCTAATATCCAAATTCCCTAATATCCAAATCCCTAATATCCAAATTCTTTAATTAGTTTCTCTTTCCCCCATTTTCAACCTTTTTCCGAAAAATAAAAAAAAAAAAAAAAAAAAAAAAAAAAGGGATTTTGTTTGCCTTTGATCGGTTTGCAATGATGATATTGAATTGTATGTGGTGGATGTTTGTTTTCTTTTCGTAATAAAACTTCGAGCATGGTTTAGATGCCCTTGGTGGAACATAGAATTGGTTAGTTTAGGCTAGTGTGAGAATAACTTTCCCGAATGTGCGAAACTTAAAGTCTAGGTTTGTGGTAAGATGGAGTCGCCCATATCAAAGGAATTTGAACCCCGAAAGGTAGTAATTGATCCCACATTGTTCCCAAAAGTGAGGTTGTAATATTTTTTTTTCAAGCCTACTACATTTTGAATGAGTGGCGAGGATCCTCTTTGATTTAGTACCTAGATCGAGAACTTGAGTCCTGACTCCCAAGATCGTGGCCTAAACTACTCTTAGTAATATGAAGTTGTTATGTATTGTTCATTCGCGCAAAGTTAAGGCATGTCATTCTTGTTTCCTTAGTTCAATCTTTAAGTTGTTATAAATAATAGTTTGTGATGTAAATGCCAAGGAAAGAAGTGATGAATAGCCACCACCCTAGCGATTAAACAAGCTTGGGGGTGCGTTTTTGTTTCAAGTTTATTCATAGTTTGTATTTTGGGTCAAAGTTAGAAACCTCTTTAGGTTTGCTCTTAGTGCTATATATCTTAGCTTGACTTTAATTGCAAAGCACTTCTAGTTTTCTCTATGCCTTAACTTTGTGCCGTATTCCTTGAGTCTTTTAATGTTAGTAGAATAGTTGAAGCCATAGACGGTAGAGGGAGTTGGTTCACAAGCATATGGAGAGGGTATTTATCATTGAGATGTCGAGTGCTCTAAACCTTCTTTGGTCTATTTTTCTTTCGGCTCCTTCAAGGAGTCATGAGACATTACCATTAAGGGGAATTTGAACTTTGTGTTGGGGACGCGGTAAGATTGGTTGAATGGACCAAAGTTGAGTACATTCGGGAAGGTTAGCTAGGCCTTGGCTAGTCATGACCGTGGTTGATCTTAGGCATATACCTCATGCTCGAGTTATATTGCTTAAGGATTCTCATATCTATGCATGTGCTTTTCTTTGAGCAAATTGATCTTTGGGTTTGTTTTTGGGCAATATGAATTGCTTGAGGACAAGCATTTGGCTAGCTTGGGGGGATTTGATAAGTGGTTTATTTGACCACTTATTGTGTAAATTTAAACCCGATTTTGCGATCATTTCCCCTCTTTCTAACCCAATTTTGAATGAAAATGTTTTGTCTCGGCTTTCCCCCCCTCTTGGTTTGTGTTTGTCCATGTTTTGCAGGTCTATGGACTCAATTAGGCAGGCTTTCGTTGCATGAATCGTGTTTAAGACAAGAGGATTGAAGATTGGAGAGGGCGCTCCAGGGGAGCGGGCGTGCACCTCTCATGGAGCGGGCGCTCCTCGACTCTAGCCACATTCTGCCCAAGTTCAGGTGCAGTTAGGAGCGGGCGTGCTCCTCACCAGGAGCGGGCGCT